GGATGAGATGAAGGCGCGTGAGTCTGTGGCGACATCGGAGGCGATGAAGCCAGTGGTGGAGCAGACTGCTTTAAGGCTTATCTCGGTTTCTACCCCTGCTTCTGCCGTGGATTCTAATCATCTCGTTGTTTCTGTCGGATGTTGCGGTGATTCACTTTCTACTTTGCCCATGCGTATTTTCTCGTCTATTAAAAATATTGATTCCAATTCTCCACGTTTATCCACCTCTTGCGCTGTTTTGTCTGATAAATTACAGGGTATTGCTCTTCATGAAGATTATTGTCCGTCGACTTTGACCCCTTTTTATGCATCTCTGTTGGAAAAAGTTTTTCTTTTGCAGTATTTTGTTCAAGAATCTTTGAATGTTTTATCGATTCCTTCGTCTTTTCTTGATTTCCCAATTATTTCTTCTTCCGTTCCCTCCTTGACTTCTAAGTTATCCGCTCTTCTTTTTGACTTGAAGTTTGCGTTTACTAGTTTAGCTCTTGCTTCTAATGCTATGGATGTTGGCACAAACTTGAATAAGGACCGTATTCCTCCACTAACTTTACAACCGTTTGACTCAACTTTCCTCTCCTCTGCTGCCGACTTTCTTATCTCCGGTGGCAGTGAGAAACCTGATAAAGAATGCGGTATATCTTGCGCATCTCAATCCCTTCTCTGTATTGCCGCTTGCCTTCATGGACAATTGCAACGCTATGCCCGCCAGGCTTTGGATTGCTCCCAAGAAAAATCTCTCATTGGTGATGAGGCTGAACACGTCATGTCAAGTTGGTCTGATTTCTTTGACAAACTTCAGAAAATGTGTCACCGTATTCCATCCAAATCGCTGCTCACGCAATATGTGCCTATTTCTGACTTAACTTGCGTTTGTCATTTAGCATCTACTGAGGTGGAGCCGTTGCTTAATGCCAAATTTAACCGGAAGCCGAAACTCTTAGACCTTATATCTGCTCCTACACCTCGTAATTTCCACACCAAAGTTTTTTCAGGACACGCTCCAGAACTCAACCTATTGAACAAGTTCTACAGCCAAAGTGAGCCTGATTTACACCATTCACTGGAGCGAGAATTACAAAGACGTAACCTCATTCGTTCTTTGGACTGTTTTTTGATGTGTTTGTTGAAATATGCAGGTTACCACAAGGAACCCTCTTTATTTCCCCTTGCAACACTGGCTGATCAACTATCCAAGTTGCGATTGTGGTTGATTGATGACACGCGTCGACCTTTCAGTTCTCCTACGATGGCAGGAGCATCGCATCCTTCCACCAAATTTGAGATTTCTTCCACAGAGCTGTATTTACGTAGACTTCTCAACCTTCGCGACACTGAAGTACTCTATCTTTTGAACAACCTTCCTGGTGGAGAAAAGTTCATAAATCACTCATCGAAACCTAACGTTTTCCCCTCACGAGATTGTACCGAAGCGCAACTTGAGTTGATGTCTAATTGGGATATGGTCCAACCTATTGATCCCTCATGCCTACCGGTCTACAGAGTAAAGCTTCCCCAGCTTGGTGAAGTCTCATGCACAACAACTGGTCACCATTCTGAAGCACCTGCAGTTGAGGGTCTTCTATCCTCTCCAAATGATGCATCAATGCATCTGTCGCCATCACCTTCGGAAGCAAGTCAAAATTCCCTCACCGATGAGTCCATAAGTGAAATTAAGGTACTACTTCGTAGGTGCTGGATTCTTTTGAAAGAAATGGTATCCACAATAAAGCGTGCCCCGCGACTCGAGTTATTGCGAACTCGGGCAGATGAGTTGCTAGATGCTAGTCTTCGTCTGAGTCGTTTCTTTAATGGAGAGACCAGTGCCTCTACGGAATACGCGGCTATAGTAGATACCGTCGCTCATGCTGATTTTAAGAGAATTCCAGATTCTCCCGGTCTGCCACGCAACTGGTCCAGGGCCCCTATTCAGGAACTGATTTGGGCTATTGAGACACTGGATGATATTGAAGAGTTGCGTTCATTAGCACACTTACTGACTCAACAATACAATGCCATCGGAACTACTGTAGGTTCTTATTGCTATTTTCTCTTTTGAGAAAGGTGTTGTAGGAGATTTATGCTTGTTTTTGCGACTACAGTTGGAGCAACAACTCAATGTAAATCGGGATCTCCGTAATCGATTACGGGAGGCTAATAATCACCTGGCTCGCATCTATCTCAGCATTTCACAGGGCAGTCAACGCTTAGCTGTGATGACAGAGCGTCTCCTGATAGAGTCCCAAAAGCATGATGAAGTTGACTGTAAGCTTCACATATGCATAGCATTCGATTCTTCTTTTTTTCTCCAACACTTTTTAACCTTTTGTTAATTTTTCCAGCCACCTGCGATGAAGTCATCCCACCGAAATCCTATTCTCAAAACCCTATATCAGCAGACGATATCAAAGCATGTGCTCAAAGTGGACCGTCTGATCTATCAACACCGGCAACTTTGCCGCTGTCTTCGCAGAAGGCCAAGGGTCATGGAAAGATGACGCTCTTGCATACTTTTCGACAAGCTATGCGGCCCAAGTCTAAAAAGTAAAGTTACTCTGTCTCCTATAGAACCTAGTCTCCTTGTGTACCATAGTCTGCCTGAACTACTCCGAACTCTTGGTGTTTCCATTCTTCCCTCTTCCCCTCCCCCTCGCCTTCTGTAATTATAACCTGACCCATGATTCTACTGACGCCTTTTAATCCCCAAATAATTCCAACTGGTGTTCGAGCAATGACAGCTTTTGAAGAAAAGTAGTGGCACTAATTGTGGAAAGATGCGTTGATGGAGATTCAAAGAAAGATATTAATGTTTGTCATTGTTAAGGTTAGAATCGTTTTGGCTTCAAATAAGCATACTTCAGTGGAACGAACCTGTCAAACTTCAGTTTTTGAAGTTGTGCCACTGAATTCTAGTGGTATTTTGTCGATGCTTTGGTGATTTTTCTTTCTCTACATAGTCCTATCAACAAGTTATACCAATATTCGTTTAATATGAACTTCTTGTTCTATTGATCATAATCTTACCATTATTATACTGTCGGTCATATTTGTACATTGTTGACATATACCATTACTACTGTCTTCGACATTGAAGTCATTGCTATGAAGGGATGCCGTAAACGGGAACTAGGACCTCACCGGGCTCCCTATCAACGGGATCAGTGAATAAGTGTTAGCAAACGAGACGGCATGGTATGCATCCATGTTCTTGTCCATTCACAGACGTGAGTGTGCATTCACAGGACAGGAGGGGCTAAGCGAGACCTCAAGTCCCAGAATGATAATTTTTGTAACATTAAAACAGGGATCCTTTCTAGGGCTGCAGGTGCCTACAGCACTTGCTGTCATGTTTTTTCTAACTCATCAGAGATTAGAGACAGATAATGCAATTTTGGTGTAAACTTAATTGTTATACCCTCTAGCACCATCCAATTCACCCGTATGATAAACGATATGTTTGTTGCATTAGATTACATGGTTTGGAAAATACCACAAACTAGGTGTGCTTGTACGGCGGAGCTAATTCGGTGATACATGTCTCGGGGCATTGTTTATCCACCGCACAGGCTGTGTAATACGTGACTATTGCCCTTCGCCTTCCTACAAATGCAAATTAACGGTCTTTTTTCAAGGTTGTGCAACTCCCTTTTGACTTGTGAGACGGAAACATTAAACGGTTTGTATGGCAACTACGTGTGTTTAGCAGAAGTTAGCTACACTGTTATAGCACAACCAAGTAATTGATATTTGTGCCTTTGCAAATGGAAGTAGGAACGGAATATGTCGGGTGGCGTTTGAGAGTGCTCTCTGTTATCTCAGCATTGTTTTACTTGCAAGGCTGAACTCAGCAAGCAATTCACTCTGAATCACCTCTCTGCATTTGGCACTGGTGCATTGAAAAACTGTGTGAGGACCACTCGAGGCTCCTCTCGCCAAATGCTGCTCCTGGCTTTCTCATGCTAGCGAAGCCTTTCACATCGTCGGTCGGTGAGTTGGATACATGTTCACTAGAGAATCCGCGAGAAGCGTAAAATTACCACAATTTTTAATTAGCCAGTAGTGGAACAGCAGCTCATATTCTGGAGCTAGAAAGCCTTTGCAATGTTTGACGCTCAATTCTCCCCAGTCTGTCCTACCGCCTTCTCTCCACTTTTGTAGTTAAAATTCTGCACGTAGACTTCAGTTACTTTTAAGACATGATTACGATATTAGGCCTAAGAGCGCAATTAGACTTCCCGAATTTAAGCTTGCATTTTGAGTACTAAAAATGTTGTGGCTTTAAAGGGAGGCGTTTACGAAGACCAGCGCAAACATGTTTATGGTGGTGAGTCTGCTAAGGCGATCCATCAAACCTAATTATTTTCAACAGTCAAAGTGTGCACTGAAGGAGACGCGCCGGCAACCCCATTTATGCGTTTGCATGCAGTACTCAGCAAAGAAAATTGAAAAAAAGTCGTGTATTTCTACCCTCAATTTTGTAACAACAAAACATGAGTGAAAGATAACCAAGTTAGTATATCTTTGGCGATTTCACAACGATTGTTAAAAAGCTTTGGGAGGGGTAGAATTGTCGAAAGTGCGCAGTTTGCCACTTGAGACTCGCAAAGTCTATGCTTATTTGGGAAAATTCTCAGTCGTAGTTTCGTTTTATTCGATACTGGGATTACTAAAATGGAAAAGGGGCTTAAAATATTACCAAATAACCAAGTGTTTTGAATACATCAAGTTTTGTAGGGTGTTGGAGTTTTCGTGCAGTAGGATTGGGATTTTGCAAAGCTGGCAATGTGGAACAACATGCTAAAATGTCAACTTGAACACCACACGAGCCCTGGCATTTGAATGTGGGAAAGACTACAACGGAAGGTGAGTGAAGCAGTTGGGTTCGGTTCGAGGAGAGGACTGCCTTCTTAAGTTGTGAATGGTCTTTACAACACCCGCAGTCTCAATCCATGGACGTAACTTGACTGCATGATGTGATTAGAGACGGGCGACATGCGGCCCTGCAAGGCATTGCAGCCCAAATTCAAAACTTACCTGCTACTCTAAAAGTCTTAACAATTGATGGTCGACGTTTAAGTAGTAACTACACGCAATCCGACGGTTTTGTGATGCGATTTATCACGGGGGCACATCGGTTTCATTGCTACAAAAAACAACTCAGCAGCAACGCATTTTTAAATTTGTTACTTAACTGATGAGAAAGGAACATTTCGCCTTCTGAATGTCCTTTTTGTCAAATGCCATTCATAGTAATCTTTGTCCAAACTATCAGATGATTTTGATATGTGGAGATGTTGGCAGTGGTTTACATGTTTGGCTTGTGCAACCATTGTAAATTTCATTCTCTAATCCACTTGTTTGTGTTTCGTCAACTCCTTTATCCTCCACAAACCTTCAGAATGACCTTCAATGAGATTACCACAACCAAGGGTTGGGAACCCAAATAAATTAATGGTGAAGCATTGCCTTGATTACACACAACTCAACTTTTACAACCATAGCGGGGCAATAAACTGATTGACTGTGCTTCGTTACAATTAAAAAGGTAAAGGGCGTATAATAATTCATAATTAGGCAGAATAGGTGGAATGCCGTCGCATAGTTCATTTGAGATCACTCTGAAAGTGGAATCCTTAATTGGGCTAGACGATGCCAAGTGCGTATGTAGCAACAAGGACACATTGTTGTACAAATTAAACAAAACTTTAAACATTTTACCTTACTTCAAGCAACCCAAGATAGAGGTTAACTTGGTTGACAAATTCCAGCTTTGCAGCAACTTTTACGTTGGTGCCAACTCGCAAGTTAACTGTTCTTAAGGTGGTCTAAAAAGGGTTTATATTGGTGGTATTTTGAAGCAGCCCTGACTATCACCACTTAAAAGCCCTTGTGCGACACTCTCGTGCACGTACTTTTAACAGCTTTACGAATTCCAGGTCTATCTTAAATATCGTAGGATGCAGCATGCTTTTTCCTCTTGCCAGTCAGCACACTGCTATTTGTAAATACAACTTCTGTCCCCCATTTTTGCCCAGTCACATGGAGTTACGAAGTGAGAGGCAGAAGGACGCATGCGTACATGTGTGGGTGAGCGCAACACTGAAACATGCATTCTGTCCACATACAGTCAGTGACATTATGCGGGTTGTGCATCATTGTCAAGTCTTTGAGCCCACACGCACCTAAAGCACCAAAATATCGACGAAAAAGCACACTTAAAGCCCATTTGCAGGCGGGTATCGAAATACCTCCAGTTGGTATCGGTGGAGGGCAATTGTGCTACCACCTTGCAATTGGTGTATCAACCAAATCGTAACTCCGTTGCAATTAGTAGTGTGGATCAAACGCTTTGCTCGCCTTATAACACCTCTACTTATAGAGACGTGTCAAAACTACTTCACCTCAACATCTCAGCAAATGCATTGGCACAACAACTGCTATGCAGTGTTTAAGTGTGTTGCCACTGGCCCAAAGTGTCGCTTGGAGTTACATTGACAAATGCCAAATGCTGTCTACTACGAGAGGTAAAATGACAAAGCTCAAAGGGTGTGTTGCCAAGGCAGATTTCCACAGCAATCAGGTTCGTTTTCGAAAAGATAAAAACATTCCTTTAATTCCTGCACTGAGGAGGTGAACCAACCCTCTCCCTTTTTAAACTGGTCTTATGAGCCTAAACCAATTATAACTTTAAAGCAATGGAAGAACTAGCCAGTTTTGGCTTTAAACAAAGAGGAACGGCCAAACCTCCGCTACCAGTTCAATCGATTCCTTTGCTGATTTGATGATTTACCTAAGGTTCAAAATGTCTTAATTTAATATGCAGTTAAAACAGTTCCATTCAGAACTGTTAGACATAATGCAATTTACAGAAGACGTTTTCAAGCATCATAGAATCGTGAACGATGATAGGCATTCGAGTTCTACCGACTGTCCCATACTACCCACACTACCATTGTTTACTAACGCCTTTCAAAGCCTTTCGTGCAAAGGCGCGCAATTTGTAAGTGTTTGCACCAGACAGTGTGTACGCTCTATTTGACTGGCTTTTTGCTTTATGCTAAGTAGGCGCGGTTCACTTGGGTTTCAAAGCAATCAACCGACAGTTGCGCTAGGCAACTACACTACTCTGAGGCAGCGAAAATATTTGCCTTCGTAACAAGTGGAGGTAGATACTGGTGATGAGTTGCCACAATTATTATTGGTATGAGTTAAATGTTTATTTGAAGTCCAACTATCACTGAAAATTTTCTAAAGTTCCACAAGCAAGCCGCATTGAACAACATTTTCTGATGTCTGCAAGCTGTAGCCACTTCTCTTTCAGTTGCTCCCACTTCCGTGAGCGTGCAGGAACTTCAATCTCCAAATGTAAGTTTCGCGTTAACCTTGCTCGCGGAATACCAGCAAATCACACTAACAAAATCATTGCATTACACCACCGGGGACATTTTTCCCATGCAACACTACTTTCCACGTTCCCACCACACTAAAACAAGTTTTTCGGCAGCTAACGATGAAAAGTACCGGAACCATTTCACAAACGTAGTAAAAAATTATAACAGCCTCTTTAGTGTTGAAATGAAGATTTTCCTGTGAATTACTTTATATTAGCCCCGTAAAGTATTGAGTTGCGATTGAAGTACCAATTCATCTTTTAAATTTGTAAAACTGCATCCAGAAAAATGCATTAAAGTGGGAGCCAAATCTGAAGGCCCTCAAGCAATTCACTTTTGACAAACATCATAAGCCCAATCTATCGAGTTACCTACTTACAGCGTCTACAATTCCATTAACTGTGTGCGGCTAACTGAAGCACCTTAAAGAGATAAGAAAGCAGGCACGTTCATGAAATCTTGAACGCAGCCAAGATTAATTTACTAAGACAGGTTTCCACACGAACCTTTGTTTCACATTATTATCGATAGCTCGTCCGAGTCAGTGCAGTTGGTAAGTTATCTATGACCACACTAAAGAGATTCACGGATATGCTATAATTTAACCAACATAGCAACCTAGCTACGATCAGCTTAGTGAGTGTACGACGTAACTGAGAGGACAAAAATCGAGGCCGAATCTCGACTTGGTGATTTGCCAAACAACCCACAACGGCGCGTTCTCGTCGAGAATGCCAACCAATGATATTTGAGTGGGGGGGCGTGAAGTCAACGATTGGTGCATTGATGTGTTCTACTGCCACGCGAAACGCACGTGTTGTATTATTCCAGAAAATTCGCGCCTAAAAATCGATAAACCAGGCGTTCCTACTGAGCCATTCGGGGTTTAATTCCCAAAAATAAAGGAGGAGATGTAGTACGTATGAATAGATTCATCACTTATAATAACATCACCACATAAGTCTCTTAAGATTCAATCCCGACCAGCTGCACTAGAGCATCCTAATCGAGTAAAGCATAATCGTAGAGGCCAAGATTTCATAAAGAATATTAGCTGTAAGTTTCGCACCATAATGTAAAGTAGTTAAAATTAGACACAAACAGCATAAAAAATTCCAATGTTTCACTCTAGGGATGGTTAGTTACAAATTGCTTCAGAAACACCTGGAATTTTAAAGACAATACTATATAAGCTGATGGGGATCGGTAGTGCATCATTTCCAAGGTTTAAAGGCTTGGTGCTAAACGGCGCGCATACATGGGAGAGGAAAGAGGCAAATATGCTTTGCCACTTGCTCACTAGAACCAATGCAACTGAAAGAGCTAAATACAAACTGATGACAGCTAATAGACTATTCTAATGTTCTATTTGTAAATTTGTACGGGCAAAATATTCACCCGTTTCTAACGGCACATTTATCGTGTTAGCATAAATAATGAACGAGTGCATTAAATCTAAAACTAAAGGAAAAATTACAATGTCATTTTAAATGATACGGGTTTATTCAGTGTTAAGCCTGCAAAGAATGCTCGCTAAGTTACAAAAGTATTTAATTTCGTTGGCAAATGACCTTGCCTATTAGAGCAGAGTATATTTTAATAGATTGATAAATACCGCTGAAAATAGATTTTTAAGGTTGCGGGGAGTTATGCATGGTTATATATTGTTTTTACTTTCCTCAGCCGTTGGAGCTGGTAAATTAATTTCTTTTTTGGCAAGGTTAGGCGTTAATCAATTTATACCTCAGGTTGTTGATTCAATTAATATTGAAGTTGTTCAAGAGAAGAACACCGGCTACCTTAATTGTACAATGGTTCTCGACGAATCGCAAATGAACGTAAGGAACGGATTTTGTGCATTTGATATATTAAAAGGCTTGTCAATTGGTGTGAAATCAAGCGTCATTTGTTAGGATCCGACATACAAGTATGGTATAATGGAAGATGATTATTTTCTTTAATATTTTAATAAACTAATTCATATCTACAACGATTTTTGGTTTTTTATAAGGTAATATTGAATTGCTTTAGGAAAGTATTGTAAAGCTTGATATTTAGCAAATGTGCCTCTTTAGCAAGCAAGCTGGTACTATGGGGAAAAACAGATCAGTATTGGAAGCAAACTTTTGGAGCCGGTACGCATAGGTCTCTATGGTATGGAAAAGTACCAAGCAAGATTTTTTCCTGGGAGACCTGATTTTGCACCAAATATGCCAGGCATGGACATTGACCGTCTTCAGACTTATCAGCTCGAAGTTCGCTTTGCCGACATTACTGACAATGGGATGTATCGTTGTGTCCTGGAAATCAGTGAGATCTTCTAGTGGATAACTATACTTTGTTGATACTTTGGAAACATTCCATTTCTACCTTACATTCTAAAGTATTTATAACTTTTTGAGACATTGCGAGAAATATTGCCTTCAAATTTCTAAATTTTACATTTTTGTTTATTATATTTACGTAGGCTAAAATTTTTGGTTTTTAATGCATTATTCATTACTCGTTCAAAGAATCCTTGCCGCGACGTTTGTGGCCAGAGGCTTACGGACGACTTGTGGTGACTCAGGCACCAATCATACTTCCAGGACTTGCATCAAAGATAGTTGATGAAGGAGACTCCCTGACCTGGGTATGCCAAGCTCAAGGGTCAGCGCAACCCCGTGTCAGTTGGACAAGAGCCAACGGACGGCCACTTAATCTCCCCGGTTCCCCTCAGAGAATATACGTACGGAATCGTCTACTTAAAAGGATTAAGTAGCATAACTAAATTGGATCTAGATTAAAATGGAATAGAAATGGCATCATTGTAAGGAAAGTATTCATTCGTATGGTTTATCTTTTGCCGTAGAGCCATTCGATGTGCGAAAGTTAATAGACTGGATCCAAGTGGAAAGAATTCCGTAGAAATTTCTCGAAAATCAGCAATACATACTGTTTTATATTCAAGCATGCCACTAGCCCTTAAGAATTGTTTCTCCAAATGGCTTTCCGTATTCGGCTGGCAGTCATAGACTGAAGTGTAACGGTGAGCAAACTCAGCTACTTTAATTGCGTTCTTAAGTAAATTTTATTGTTTCTCCTAGATTTCGTTACCAATAATGCTTGCTGTTCTTCTAAAATTGCCCAGTTGCATCTTGTAAGAACCTAATGATTAATTTGTCCCTGATGGCAGAACTACTGCTCACATTACTTATTTTCTTTCATGAGCAATAGAACCAAATACGCTTTCTCTCACATAATGTTCAAACACAATCTCATAATAGGCTAGGTCAACATTGTCATTTGGGTTATTGGGCCAAGTAAAATAGAGTCGAACGGATGTGTTTTTATTGCTACACCATAGAGCATGGCATGTATGTAATCTGTTGTTAGCCTTCCGACGCAGAAGGTGTTTTTTACCAATTACAGCTGATCAGATCACTGATTTGGGCAACTAGAATGCATCCCCCTCATTTGTAACCTTTCTCATGTAGAAATAGTGCGAGAGCATTGGTAGCTTAATTTAGCGTGGTCAATTGTAGCACTCGTCTTCTGCATTGTCCCAAATACAAAATGCATCTCAAAGGCGTTATATTATGTTTTCTGAATTTATCGGCATCAGAAATTAATAATTTACTTTCTGCCTACCTTAATCCCTAGATTTGACGACCGCAGCCATCAAGCAAAGAGATTCCGTCGCTGAGGCACTGAATATGACATCTAGCCCTATTGTTCACTGAATTTTTTGGTGCTATCATAGAGCGTGAATGGAAATGTTCAAGTTAGGGTACTGTTATTTGCGAAGTTAAAACCCATTCAGGTGCCGAAATTATACATGAATGACTCTGAAATTTGAGAAGAGCCTCAAAATCCCCTTTTAATTAGTATGCAAACTTTTAGTCGAACTTCGCTTCTCTTTAAAATTTTAAATATCTCCTTTAAGCTCGTGAATCGAAACGGCTTACACATTTGACCCCAAAACTGTGTGGAGTCCGCACAAAACTCCCTTTTTAAGACTTTTTCGGATGGACTGCTACCGCTTGTCTTGATAGGAACTCGTTCTACAATGCTTTTGGAACAAAATTCACTTGTCGTTGAGGTACGATTGAAATTTATTTTGGGCTGTCTATACACCCGATTTTACAAAGTAAAGAAAGACCACAACACTTCCGTTCGCATTGCAACTTGTGGCAACCGATGAACAAACTTTTGCCATCTCACTGAATGCGTCTAGAAAGTTACTAAGGCTCATTGTTTCCGGATAATATGGGGGCAATTGCGAGTGCAAGTGATGTATTTTGTCTTCGTTGCAGCTCTGGGCCTAAATTTCACTCATTGGCTCATTTAAATGAATCCTGGTAAAGTGCAGGATTGCCTGTGGATCGAAAATTCGCTGATGCAAATGTGCATGTCGGTGAGACAATTTGCAGAACTAGAAAGGCCCGAGGGCAATATATTTACCATGTCTTTTGTTTAGTACATGTGGGTGGAGGAAAATCGTGTTTTTCCCCCCTACCTTTCATATTTTAAATATAATTTAGTTTGCAAACATAGAAACGGAGTAGTCAAATTGTGCTGCGCCGCTGTTTATACCTCATCAAATGGTGGGCGAAATGGTTGTAAAAACTAGTATTTAAAGAGTATTCTTACATATCGGAGCCATCCATGAACTTTAAGATGGGGCACTTTGTACCATTTGCATCTGTGTTCAGAACGAAACGCTCCACATACCTCGGGTGAATCGCTTTGACCGAGGCATCTATCGGTGCCATGCCGCCAATAACGTCTATGGTTCCACTGAGTACGATGTGATGCTCGAGGTCAACTACAAACCACAAATTCGTCTGGCGCGTTATAAGGGAGCCTATGGCCAGGTCAGCCTTACCATCCCTTCTCCTATTTCCCTGGGCAAGTTTTATGAACTCAAGCAAATTCACGATAACCTTTGGCTTTGGTGTTCAAGATGGAGGAAACCTACTGTTCCTGCTTAATTTTTAATTGAAGTCTGTCCTTTAGAACAGCATAATTTCTTTCGTTTACAAACATTAATGAAGAAAATGATTAGTAAAAGGAAGATAAAAAGGACATCTTTCCATAAAGTTAAAAAAACGTTTAATCGAAATATACAATACTTGGAGCTTTCCTTGACTGTTTGACAAGTAGACGCAACCAACGAACTCAATGAGAAACGTAATTTGTTTACTACTTCGACTTATTTTTCATATATTTGAGATGCTCGTTTACAATGACTAAACGTCAGCTAAGTTCTCAGTGATCCCTTCTACTGATGATTAATGAAACATCGATCATTTGCATGACAACTTATCAAATCCTATTGCTGATTGATTTGATATTTCGTTGACAATGATAAAAGTGATTGCAGTAACGCGTAGACATTGATGAAGAGGACATGCTTCGCCTCCTTTGCCCAATTTTTAACAGAAAAGTGACAGCAATTATGACGTCATAATGGAGTGCATTGTAAACGGCTACCCGGATCCGGACTTGCTTTGGTTCAAGGGTGTCTACGATCCCAAGCTAAACAACATTCCCCTTTACGACAGCGCCAAGTATGAGTTGGAGAAAACTCGCAGCTATGGGGCCGTGGGGACGAATGTAAGTACGCACTTTTACAAACTTCAATCGACTATGTCACCAAACATCCGACATTAACTTCAGAAGGCAAGGTAACCTGCACACTGGGCGTGTAAGCATTAACAGAAGCTATGGCGTTCGGTGCTTCCTTCGCTTTGTTTGTAATGATGAGGGCAACCACTTGCAGAAAGCCATATTACAGTCAAACTCGTCGTGAAGCAGCAAAATAGGTTTTGTCGTTAGCTCAAGAACTACGATGAAGAAGCGTTTTCCGTTGGAAGTCGAATAGCTTGGAGCAAGACATGTTCTGTTTCCATTGTAGTGCCTCTTGAGTTGCGGTGCGTGCGATCCGGTTCACTTACTTTACTTGACACTGAGTTTTTTTTTGTAATTTATCGTTAAGAGTAGACAAAAACAAACGCTTCTTCTCGGCTGAATACGGGCCTGGAACGCAATCATGTTTTTTCTAGGTGACAGATGTGATTTCGCTTCTGAAAGTGAAAAACATAAGAGAAAGTGACTACGGAAACTACACTTGCATGGCTGCAAATCGGTATGGCATGGATATGACGGTGACATACATCTTCTGTAAGTCCTTTACGCTGCTTTTCTGTTGCTATAAATTTGACTGAGATTGTATGCATAATGCACTAGTATGGTGTTTGGAGGTACTCAATACCCCACTCAGATACTAATTCCCCTAATGGACTTTGAATTTGCAACCACGAGCACCTACTAGGATGGATCTGTGACCTACTTCTTCTAACGTCGGTATGAAGCCCTCACAGCACCTGATGATGGGTAGATTTTTTTCAAAAATTAGTTGTGATGCAAACTGAGCAAACTGAGGCGGTGCAATCCCCTCCCAAACTAGGCAAATGAGACGTCAGCACAACTAAAAATTCAACGAAATTGTAGATTTTTCATTCGTGCTTTAGATTTTGAATCTCATCATTACATCAATGATCACTAAGTAAGAAGGTTTGATTTCGGTAGTTGAAGAGTTTGAAACAAATTTCGGCAACTGCTTTTTACTTTATCTTCGGTTCTGGAGCTATGAGCTGAGTGGTCTCCTAGTTATATCGTGCAGCTGCGATTCGGTTAGCTTGTGCAATTTTTGGCCCTGATCAACACCAAAAGATACCCACCTTGTGACCATCACTTATAACACTGCTTTCTCTTATCTTTCAGATCAATCTGTTTGTCAAGGGCCCATTTGTCCCATGTTAGGTGCCACTGACTTAACCGCCTAGATCAATCTCCAATTTACCCTGTAAAAAGTAACCTTCCCCCTTCCAAACTTCAAGACTTCGTCGCGGAAACTCCACCCACTTTTACGATACAGCATGCAAAAGGCCCCTGTATAAGCAGAACAAAAACGTACATCCCGAGGCATGCGCACCACCCACCTCCCATCACTTTCTCTTTGCAACTGTCATTTTGTATGAGGCAGGTCTGTGCACCTAATTGTATCCCTTAAAACGTGGCAGAGGAGTGAGACATTGCGAAGGGAAAGTGCCTGCATCCTCGCTTGTTTGGCTGCCTTGAGAACTTCAACACAATGCAGAATGCGATTTGCTGAGAGGAGCAAAATCAATGTTGATGAACAAAGGAGAGCTTTTTACCCCTCAAAGCCTTTAACAGAACAAATTGTAACATCAACTTTCCCAAAGGAGCTTCTTGAGACCTCAATTGTGGCGACGGGTAGAAAATGATCTGCAGCAGCTTTTGTCCAGCTTGTCAATCCTGCGTCATGAAAGTTACAATTCAAAACAGTTTTAGAATTCTCGTGCCAATACTACTGACGTTAGTTGTTAACCTGCCATCGTTTCCCCGTCGGTAGCTGAGTGCTATAACCCACGCCCGTCAGTTAAGGCAGAAATTTGCCACCAACATTCTCACCAGTCCACCAGTTTGGAAAGTGTTGTGACTACGACAGGTGTCTAACATGTTTGGTACACCTTGGAGAGATGGCTTTGCAAGATTTTTCGAGGTGGGTAAATGTGCTTGCACCAAAGACGAGTCGTGGCACTGAAATTCTGCTGCAAGCCTATTGGGAATTAGCTTCTCAGTCACTCTCTTGTGACTTTTTGCTACCATCTTTTTGAAAACAAAATGGTAAGAGCCATTGCTGGTGAAGGCTTTTATGCAAGAAGTCCTGAGGAGAGCCTCATTTCATCAAAAAAGTTGGACTTTTCCAGTTAGAATTTATTGAGGCAGAAAGAAAACATGACGACTAGTTATTTCACAAACACAATTTTTGCCCAAAGTGGCACACGATTTAGAAAGCATTTAACTGTGGCAAATAAATATGCTGGGATTTAAATGGAATGTCCTCCAAGGCAGCAATGTTTATAACCGAAATGACAATCATGCAGAGTTTCTGAAACAGAAAAAGGGGTCTTTAGTTTTCATCCTAAGGAGACCTTATTCAAGTGGCATCATGCGAGATTTAAACTTATGCATGGGACATAAAGTTGAGATTAATTCTGCCGGAGTCTAGCGTCGGAGAGAGACAGTTTTACCTCCATTATTTTGGCTGAACGACAGAAGTCTGAAACAGAAATTGTCATTGTTAAGCCAATGAGTGCAAAAGATACTGGCCACTACGAATGGACAAGCATCAAAACAAATTTCGATTAATTTTCACACCGTTTGAGGTGTTGACGTCAGTTTGGCACTGCATTCACTGCGCCGCCCGCCAGCCGCAGCCTTGATGCCACAAACAGATAAGGCGACAAATAAAAATTCGCAAAATGGCACCACATTACCTAAATCTGCTTAAACAAATGAGTTGGTTATGCTCTTTACCTCTGCCCTCCCCCACGCACTAAACCTCAGCTAATTTGAAAGAGTCCACTGAACTTGGGTGCACAGGCTGTGGATTGGACGAAGTGGTAAACATAACTTAAAAATCAAGACGACTAAAGGTTGATTGCGCAAAAGGGCAGAAGTGCTTTGAATAAATGCAGATGTACAAAACTCCAAATTCACCCAAGACTATCTTCAAAAGGACATCAAAATTACCTTGTCACTTTGTTTTGACTGGCGGGCCTTTTTTAGCTTTGAGAATTGCGACTGGATTTTTACGGCTGCCTTTTCAACTTCTGGATCGTTTAGATCGATGTCAATGGTTTCCTCCGTCTCTGGCGGCTACATTTGTGCATTCGAAAAAGGTTTACTTAACAAAACTCAAAGAAGGCGACTTCACTTAAAAATTGCTAGTCCTTGACAGACAAGCTGGGCTAGCCGCTCCTCGACTTTGCTAATCTTTGCAAAGAACAAGTTACTTCTTCTCTTCAAACAGAAAATCATCCCACATTTTTACACAAATGTTATTCGGATTAAAATACTCAGAAAGTTAGGAATAAAAAAGAGGAACATCAAATTATGCAGTGCAATACTTTGAGGCGTGGTTTGCCTAAGAACAAAATAAACAAAATTAAAATATGAGCTGTCGACGGCTTTTCGCCAAAGCATTGACTTTCTGTCGTTCCAGAATGCAATTAACTGGATGGTTATGAACTTGTTCAAGTGGTGAATACCACTAAAGTGCCTTGAAGAATTAAGTTAAGTAGAAATAAACGTCCGCAAGTTGCGAATAAGGCAAAGTAATAATAATAAGTAATTTCCTTTACCACTACTAAATGGTCTTCACGCGATGCGTGCAAACAATCCCATTTCTATATCCGTTCAACATAACCTCTATGAATGCATGTTTCGAAGGCCTCAAAACCACTCTAGTGCATTACTATGATAAAATGCAATAAAATTTATGCAAACCTCCTGTAGGTGTTCCATTATGACCGGACTTAAAATAAAGCAAAATTGTGAGTCCCTTTTCACCTCACTGGGCCACAGGCGATTGGTCGTCACACCGACCAATGATTTCCGCCCATAAGGAGGTTTCATCCATCTCCAAAACAAATCCTTCTAATCTAACTCAAATTTGGGTTCGCATTTCAGTCAAGCGGCAAAGGAGACTCAATGCAGGTATATCAAAAGGAAGGAAATTCGTGTGGAAAAGTTCCTGTGCATCTCGCTCTTTCTCAGGCGTAGAGTTGCGGCTTGAGGGGTGGTAAATAGTGATTCATAAATTCGCTACTATCCAGGCCCAAGCTATAGACACGTATATTTTACATTACGCCTTCTCTTATTATTCATTTAAAAGTTTTTCTCTTAAGAGTAGCTAGCTTGAATAGTTCAGATTACAATAAAAAGGTATATCTAGACTCTGTTAACTGGGACAAATAACGCTACGGTCTACCTTTCGCCTAACGAGATGGGGTGTCAGCCGTTAAGAACACTGCCGCATCCTCTAGAGAGGCATTAAGAATACAAAGATACCGATTACGCATTAATTGTCTCTAATTCGCATCCGGCGATGCAGTAAGCATTTAATGACCGTCTCCACTTCCTTACCCTTGCTACTTAGCTACCACCTCCAGAACGGTGTAGCAGAGAGCTTCGAGATTAACTGCGCTGACTCTTAGCCCATTCCGAAAATTTTTGCTACCTGCTTTGCGTGGAGAGAGATATGGGAGAGACTGTTTGCGCCCCTAAGCGGAACTCCTTACGTGAGCAATATAAAATGTGTTTGGCATCAAAATGCCTCCACAAGTTGTAAATACTTGCATCGATCACTGGCCTTAGCTGATCGGAGTCCTGCTTCTGCCAGCATGAAATTTTTTTCAGTCCACTATGAACCTACTCGTTTTGCTTTCAACTAAGGATCAAATGATCTCACGACTATGGAACAGAAACACACGCTCAAATTGTAGCGCAATTAACATCTCCCCCAAACTTTACCTCGATCACCTCTTACAGTTCTTTATTTCCTTCTTTTTTTGTTTGATGATGGTATCATGGTCATGGGAAAGGAGACAACTTCAACACCACAAAGAACTCAAAATTTAGTGCGCCTAGGTCATGTGCGAACAAAATCATATCTTTTGTGCCAATATTTGCGTCATGGCGGTAAGTAATGCCGCCGACTTCGATGTACGTTCCCAAATTCATGTAAAATCCTACGGCTTTAATTTTCAACATTATGATTTAAGAGTAAAACATTGATAAATGCTTGCTCATTAAATATTCTGGCGTTACTTTATAATCGCCAAAAGGCAAATGGCATTCACTAGTTAAATGAGTATTTCTGATTGTGGTTTTATGATGTAAATTAATACAATCCACTACCTCCACTCTTCTGAGTGAACACCGAATTCACTGCTGTATAATGGCAAGTTCAGTCAGCTGTCTACTCAAACTTGCACATTTTAATATTGTGCCATTCATTTAGATGAAAATCATGTAATAACCAGAATAACTCAAATAAGTCCCAACGCTGGCAACGAAAAGTAAAATGATTATCGAATATCCGAAAAATAAATAAAAGACATCAGGCAGAAAGGCCTGTCAACGTAGTAGTCCTAAATTTCTCTACAACTAGTAGAAGGCATTCTAATTGAGAAAAATGCGTTGATTAGGCAACAGTAGAGTATTCGGAGCTTTTGGTGTGGTCGTAAGATTAGTCCTCCTAGCCAAAGCAATTTGATTATTTAAGTGATGACTTCCGAATCAA